AGCGCCGCGGAGCCGCCAGCGTCTTTGTTCCCGGAGCCGCCCTGCTCTCCGCGGCCCGTCCTGTCCCCAGCCGCGGCCGAGGCACCGGGCCGCGTATCCCTCCCCCAAATGCGCCCCAGTTCTTCACCCGAGGGGGCTGCCCAGGGGGAGAGGGGTGCCAGGGTCACTGCTGCGCACCCAGACCAGAGAAGGGCACGGAAAGCTCACAGGGTTCACGTGGATTCCCCAGAGAATATGTAGGGCAGCCTCCCTTACCTTGGTATCGCATCCCCTGACTTTTGTTCTAATGCTCTTTTTCCTGGATTGTGCAGTCTCCTGGCTGCTTTTGACCAATATCACATTCTAAAAATGAAAGATGTGCCAGGACAGAGCAGTGCTGCCAGCTATTTCGTGCATGAGGATCCTTAAAAAGCTTAGGAAATCCCCATATTTACATTCCCAAGGAACTTCAGTAAATGATTTGTCTCTAGGGTTATCTCAGTGCAATCGCAGATTTCTGACCACACTGCAGAGCTGGTCAATATACCCGCCAGCAAAAAAAAAATAACGTCACATCTGATGCCAGAGCATGGGATGCAGAGCACATGGCCTGTGCACAGAAAGGACAACAGTGCCGAGAAAGGTGCAGCTTTTTCCTCTTGGACTTATCTTCCTAACCCTAAGTGAGTAAAGCTGCCATTTCCTGGATGCTTTTTTGTGTGAGTTTGTGGCCATTGGTTCCTGAGCCCAGAAGTATCCTTGGCAGCCTAAGAGAGTTGCCTGTTCCCCCCTGAAAAAGAACAGCAGGAGTTTTCCATTTCTGGTGGACTTTAACCCCTCTGTGAACATTGTTGGCTCTCCTACTCTCCCAAAGTGGCTTTTATTCCAGATTGTGAGGGCAACAAGAGCTTGGGATAGAGAGCGGTCACTAGTTCATGTGATGTGGAATATGCAGGTGATCTTGGCTAACGTTCATTCCAGTGCGAGGATGAATATTGTCCGTAGCACATCCACAAGTCAAGGTGGTTTCCTAGAAGGGGGAGATAGTCATGCCATTGTACAAAAGGGCGGCGCGGCCTTGCCTGACATGGCCGCCGCTCCCTTCAGGGAGGTTTCCTCTGGAAGAGATACAGAAGGGGCTACTCGGGATCAGGAGACTGGGGTCAGGCAAGAGGAATGCAGAGCTGGGCCTCGTGCCTTGGTGAAGATGGAGAAATGTATGGCTGCACGTGGCGAATTCACCATCAGGAAGCACCAGGGACAGAAAAGAGCTCCTTGTTTGAAGAACAGAGTTAGTCAAATATATTTAGGAGCATGAGCATCTTTAGCATGGGTTGGAAGACAAGAATTCCAGATGGTTTTAAATCCAGGACTAAAATGGATTTAGGAAGTCTCTTCTGATGCAAGTCCCCACTCACTACACAATTTGCAGTTCAGCATTGTCTTCCTTCCAAAATGGCCCAGACTTCACCAGAAAGCAGGTATTGCACCAATGCTTGCTTGGAATCCCAAGGCTTTGGTTCTATCTTAGCAAAAAAAAAAAAAAATGTCCAGGCCCTGGCTTTCTTTTTCCCATTCCCAAGTGGACAAGTGTGCTGTCAACGCAGCAGTGATCAAAGAGCAGGAGGGACAGTTTGTAGAATGAGAGGCACCATAAGCCATGTCAGGAGTTTGAGCATCAGCCAGCTCCTGGCTCTGTGACAAGACAGTATGACCACCATGGGCCTGGAAGAGAGGTGGGGTCCGACACATGCCCCCTACTGTGGCACATATGTTGCTCACATGTGTCAACAGAGCAAAGTGCCAGGGCCTTCTCCTCCTTCCTTTGACCGAGGATCTCCAGAGAAGCCGTGTACATCAGGGGATCTCCAAACGCCCTGGAGGGAGGTTGCTCCTGGAGCAGCTTGGCTATGAGTTGCCTTTCCTCCCAGCCCTGCAGCCAGTCGTGCATATTCTCCCCTGCAGATAGTATCTGCTCCAGGTCCTCTCAAGTCAGACCTGTCCATGTGAGTGGAATTCATGGCCTGGTCTGGGTCCCCAGCATGGGGAGCAGTTGCAGGGCACCCACGTGCCCAGTGGCCCTGCGGAGGGCATGTCCCATCCCAGTGCATCCCCCTCCTTGCTTGCTGCAGCACTGGGGCTGCCGCCTTCCATGTACCAGCAAAGTCACCCCTGAAGGCACGGAAAACAGCAGGGAACTTTGCATCGTTCTTGTGCCTTCCAGAGGTAAGTATTCCTGAAGTCTGCTCCTACTTCCCTCTGGCAGATTTCAGGCATGAATATACATGATTTTTGCACAAAGTGACCGTGGTCACCAAGTGGCCACAACCAACTTGGCACAAAATTAGACTGTGCCAGGTCTCCTGCTCCTCACACTGCTGAGCTGGGCTGGTGGGAGATAGCACCCTTTGCAGTGGGACACCCGGGGCTGCGTCAGATCTACAAGGCAATCAAGCCTTTTCCAAGCCAAGTCTTTTATTTACAGGGCTTTAATCACATCCTTCCCTACAGGAAGCAGAAAGTGCTTCTCCCAGACCCTCCCTTGCAGTGATTTGACTAGCAGATTCCCAGCTGGTGCCTGGGGGGAAAGGAGGAGCAGAGTCAGGGTTGGGGGATCCTTCAGACAAATCTTTCCTCCGGGACAGAAGGCAGCAGGGGAGGAGAAGCTTCCAGCCGCTGCACCATCAGCTCAGGTGCATCTGCTCCTCGGAGGTGCCGAGCCCAGGCACTGGCTGCCTCGTGTTTGCTTGATCTTTCTTTTCCCAAGAGAAGCTATTCTATTTTTATCTATTTATTTATTTATTTTCCCTAGCTGAAATCTTATGAAGTTTGAGCTCCATTGGCACCTCTGCAAGGAAGGAACCCGGCAGACAGCGGGGCTCTGGGAAGGAAGTGATGAGATTATTAATATCCACAGAGGAAGTCCCTGTGGTGACGAAGACCTGCTCTCAGTACCGCACGGCTACGGCTATGCTTTAAAGCTAAAGGGCACAGATCCAGCCTGCCACTATCCACAGGGGATTTGCTGTCACTGTGGTGTCCCCGGGAGCTTTGAAGCACGGTGACCTGCTGTGTTTGGGCATTCACTGCTCTGGAGGTAGCACTGAAACTGCACGTAAAGATCTGCTGTCTGCCCCTGCTCCTGACAAATACGTGGTGAAAGAGCAGAGAGGGCCAGGAGGAGCGAGTCTGAGGGAGTGTGACACCAATTGATGGCCACCGTGCCTCACGTCTTCACTCTGCAACCTTCCCTTCAAGGTGGCTATTGCATTACATTAGAGAGAAGCCTCTTCAGCTTGGCAAGGTTAGCAGAGATGTGTAAAACTTGGTAGGAGCAGAAAGTGTTTATGGCTCGGATTATGTACGTGCATAATGCAACTGAGAGTTGAGGTGGACTGTGAGAGAGTTTTGACATCCTTGGATGGAAAAGAGTAAGTCAGTGCAAAATTTTATGATCAAAAGCAAATCCTGTGTTTCAAGCAGATTTTTAATCAATACTATAATACACAATATCGGAGTGTTTTTGATGGGCTTCTGCTTTTTATATACAGCTAGCAAACACTGTTTCCCAGTGTTATTTGGAAGAAATTCAGATTCTCCTGTGTCAGTTTAAGATGAACAGTAACAGAAGTTCATAACATGCTACAGACTCGCTCTGCTGCGTGGCCACAGGGCCTTCTGCAGGCACTGAGTGAAAAGCACTTTTAATATGCATGTTATCTTAATCTTTCCATTCCCATGTAATGCAGCATCAAAGCCTGTCCCTTGCAGTGAACCAAAAGGACATTTCCACCCTCTTCAGTCAGGAGTGAAATTTTAAAGCATGCTAAGATTTTTTTTTTCTAATATACTGGACAAAATTCCACTTGATGATAACGCCTGAGCCCAGCAGGTGATACCAAGGATGAATTTGATCCTTGATATTGTATAGTGATATATAACATCATTTAAGTCTTACCAAAGCATTCCCTCTACAGGACTGCGTTAGTACTACAGAAAGCACTTCCACAGCTCACACCCTGCTGCTCCTTGGCCACCTGGAGTGGGTGGCTCTTGCAAAAGCCACCATCCTTGAGGGGAAGGAGAAACCTCAGCACATTCTCACATGACTTTGCTCCACCAAGGCGCTGTAGGAAGGAATGAGCCCAAGTGCTGGAGTTACCAGATAACCCTGTGTCGCCGTGCACATCCCGGAGCCTGAGAGGACCTTCTGTCCCATTCCCCACCATTTAGTCCATATCCCTGCTCAGATGATGACTCCTGGCC